AATGAATGAATATACGTATATCCAAAGGCAACAGAGATGTTAAAGATTTTACTAGGAAAGAAAATCTTCAGAACTGGCTTGTGGACTCTGTTTAATTAGAAATGAATGAAGCTAATCTAATCTGAAATGTTTCTGTGCCACTATATAGTTATAAACCCCTCTATCAAACCAGAATGGACTAGAAAAGGGAAAATATATATAGTTTGTGGATGCTCATAGAAGATTAAAGTAGAGCTAAGTAAAAGTTTTGTGTGGCTGATCAAAGGCGAACAATGAAAAAAAAAGCTGATGTTATATTGGATTTAGGGATTTATCAGGACAGATTTGAACTTTTTAAGCAACCTAACAAGTCCAGACACCTTGAATACAAAACAGGCTGAGGCTAAACATGATAATGCTGAGTCAGATAAGGTGTTTTATGTGATGTGTTGTTTCTTACCCATTATTTAGGTTTATAATAAACAGCAGATTTCTGATTCACCCTTTCATCCAAATACCATTGGTNGGACTCCGGTGAACCTACATCTGTTCATTCACTCACAAACTTGTCAAAACAAGCTTGTTGTAGCGAGAGAGGAGGAGAGTTCATCAGCTGCTCTGCACCGTGCATAATTGAGAGGCCAGAGCTACACCTGCAGAAAATTCCCACCAAATACCTGGCTTCAAATCTCTGGAGTTAAGTAGGTCAGTGGAATGGTAACAACAAAGGTGTGCTGTATATCCTAAATTTTATGGCTAAACATAAATACTAATAACAAATTACAACAGATTATTTTTGTATAAAGAGGAGTTAAAGTTACAAAGAGGGGACAGCTGAAAGAAAAAGAGTGGAAATCACATGTTTTAGTGTAAGGTAGTTCACCTTTGAGCTATTTGCTCATCAGCAGAGTGAAAGTAAAGCCATAAATAACCCAAACTGGGGAACAGATGCAGCTTATCAAATTCACGCCAGGTCAAAGTTGTGGATTTGAATGAATGAATATACAATATATCCAAAGGCAACAGAGATGTTAAAGATTTTACTAGGAAAGAAAATCTTCAGAACTGGCTTGTGGACTCTGTTTAATTAGAMATGAATGAAGCTAATCTAATCTCAAATGTTTCTGCGCCACTATATAGTTTTAAACCCCTCTATCAAACCAGAATGGACTGGAAAAGGAAAAAAAAAAATATAGTTTGTGGATGCTCATARAAGATTAAAGTAGAGCTAAGTAAAAGTTTTGTGTGGCTGATCAAAGGCGAACAATGAAAAAAAAAGCTGATGTTATATTGGATTTAGGGATTTATCAGGACAGATTTGAACTTTTTAAGCAACCTAACAAGTCCAGACACCTTGAATACAAAACAGGCTGAGGCTAAACATGATAATGCTGAGTCAGATAAGGTGTTTTATGTGATGTGTTGTTTCTTACCCATTATTTAGGTTTATAATAAACAGCAGATTTCTGATTCACCCTTTCATCCAAATACCATTGGTGAGTCATGTTTGTGCAGCACTTTCTATTGTACTACACTATTTACTGCAGTCAATATGTTTTCCTATGTATTCACACATTGCTGACTTTAACTGGGTCAACGTGGAGTTCAAAGCCTTGACCAAAGACACTAAACATGTGGGTGCTGATCATCAGTCTGCCAACATCCTGGCTGCAGAGTATTCACTTTTGACAAGTAAATTAGTCACAAACTAAATACCATAATTGTTTTAGACGGGATGATAAACTTACCAAGTTTAAAATGTAATAAAGCACTTTTAAGTTGCTTTCCTGTCAGGAAGTGAACTAAAACTGAAAAAGAWGAAGAAGAAAAATAAAAGACACAGACTAAAAATGAGAATGTGGTTAAAACAGGTCATCACAGAAGACACGCAGAGGCAATGTATGCAGAGGAGGTGTCTGAGGCTCAGAATGAGAACCAGGCATAACAACAAGGCATTCCACACTCTGAGCCTGATAAAGTGAAACAGATGATCAACATGTGTGAGAAAACGTGTTACGCTGTATCTAGAAGCCTACTGTTCTGCAAGTGATAAATGTTCTTGCACAYGAAAAAATGGATCCCATTAATGAAACTCATTGAAAACAGAGTAATATCTGCACGTAAATAGCTTGACTGAAAATTGCTGTGATTGTCATTTTCAGGACTTTATGCATTAAAGCAAGATAAAATGGCAAGTTTATTTATTTATTTATTTATTTATTGATTGATTGATTGATTGATTGATTGATTGATTGATTGATTGATTGATTGCATATTTTTACCCAAAATGCACCATGTACATAAGTGACTGAACATGAATTGTCACTTATTTTAAAGAAGTATACCAACGCTGCCAGCAAGAGAGGAAGTCTAAAAATAGGTGAAAGGTAGGTCAAACTAAGTCTTAAAAAAACAAACCCAATTCTTCATTGCAGGTTTTTGAATASTGAACAATGACGCACTGCTATGGTTGCCTAAGATGAACAATCTTCAATCCTTTTYAGCTACTAGCTAACCCTGATGAGATGGTTGCCAGCTTTGTGATCTTWTTCTCTATTTTGACTGCATTTTAGTACCACAAAGTACGCCTTAAAGCCAAAAAGTTTTTTTTTTTTACTGAGATGCTCCAAACAAATGAAAATTGGCATACATTTCCTGCAAGATGAGAATGATTATGGGTGCAAGGATGATTCGCCCAGCTCAGAGCTGATTTGTGAACCCTGATTTGACTTGTTGTCCTGCATTAGGATTTAAAATAGRATGCTGCAAACTTCTCAGGTTAATAAGTGATTGAAAACTCATTTAACCCTCCCTCCTACCTCGTGGGTCATTTTGACCCAAGGGCATCAGGAGCTGCATAAACTGGAATTTGTGTCAAGCTGAACTGAACACGTGTACAGTTGTGGATTTAAAACTGTATTTTAGCGCCCCCTTGTGGTAACTGTATGAAATGCAACTTTGACTTGATTCGGTTTTAGGAGACATTTTCTTTTTAAATCAATACTGTATGACTTATTTTAAAATACGTTTTTACACCATGTCTAAATGAACATGTGATTATGTGCTTTAGTGCATGAACGTCCTCTATGACAACTCCTTTATGCCGGGCCCAGTTTCACCAACTACTTCCGGGTCGACGTCAGTTCACCGGGCCGGCTGCGCCGCACAGAGCCCGTGGTGTCTGCAAAGGTCAGTCAAGTTATTCGTCATTAACCKCACTGCTCCCAGTTTTCGTTTCGTACACGTTTCGGGTTTGCATTCTGTGGTTKCACAGATGGCTTTTTTGTTGACTCATTTATCGCTCACAACAATGAAAACTGTTATGACTTTTTTCTTAGCGCAGGCTAGCTCGCCGGTTAGCATGTTAGCATCCACTGCTCTCTCCTAGCAGAGGGGACGAGAAGCTAGCAGAGGGGTCTGCATGGATGAAAGTCTGTTTGGTATACAGAGGAACATAAGGATATCTGCGATGTCAACACTTATTATGACTTCGTGTTAGTCGTGAGATTGCTSTTGTGCAGAAAGCATTAATATGAATGAATTAGTTAGCGTGCTAACTTAAAAGTGAACTGGGAACCGTTAGCCGGAGCTGTCTGACCGGATTATAACAGTGTTATTTTCCGAGCATTTGCAGCACTGCATGTTTGTACTACAGGTTTAAGTTGTTGGTTGCACAAAATAAGGAAGTCTAAATTAATTTAAATTATGTTTTGACMTTTTTAATTGTAGAATAACTAAAATAAAAACTTCTCAAACTTTTTATGTTTACACTATGTTATGCGTCTTAAAATAACCACCAAATATCTAAGGAAACAGCAACTCAAAAGGTGTAAGTCAAGCCAGTTTTACTTGACAATAAATTTAAAAATYAACCAAATAAACAGAATATTTTCTTTGAATTTTCCTGCTTTAAAGAGTAACTTACCCCCAAAATTAACTTTTTTTTAGCTGATAAACTGTCTAGAATGTGTCTAAAATGTTATATAGAAC